TTCCTACCCATCTCTTACTCCACCCCCTCTCCATCATCCTATTCATCTCCTACTCTGCCCCCTCCCCATCATTCCCTTCACTTCTTACTCTGGCTGTCCCATCATCCCACTTATCCAGCCCAACCGTTATGCAAACCTTATAGAGCATTTCATCCACTTTCTACATACACGTATAGTACCTTGTCCCCATGATCCTCCTCCTACAGGTACCCCTCCCCCTACATACATCCTTATCTGTCACTAAGAGTCCCTTCCCCATCCCTTACAATTTTCCTATACACTGTACATGTACATGTATGTACGTCTGTACGTGTCTTAACACTGTCTATACATACATTACAGGAGTGCTTAGTACATACTGTATGTATGTACTACAGGGTTAGTACACAATACAACTCAGAAAGATTAACATTCAATTTTTATAATTGTTTTCATTAAATTCATAAGTTTCTAGGCATTGATTCCATAGACTTATGAGACTATTTAAATACTGATGGAATTCCAAGGGGAAGCAAATATGCTCTCAGTGAATTGGAGAATTAACTTGACATTTTTCAAAACTGTGTCAGGGCAAGCTTGAAAACGAAGAGCATTTACTAATGTTCAAAATGGCAGCTTTCATGAACGTCATTCAAAAGGAAAAGCTGAATGCTATGCCTTTAGGAGGGAATCTCAAGAAACCAGGTGAAGGCAGTTGTACCGATTTGAGAGTGGCAGAGCAATTTTCTTCATCAAGGTTTTTACGATCAAAATTACTGTCATCTCGTTTATCTGCCATGCTGAGGTCTCAAGATACAACACCATGCTGCACTGTGTGTGCCTGTCTGTGCAGACAACGGAAGCCCTCTTGTGCAAAACCACTCGGCTGTGCAGTCAGCCACAAGCATAAAACAATTGCCAATATTTATTACTAGTAGATGCTGAATAGTAAAAGAAACATTTTTATACATACAAATTCAAGCATTTGCTTATTCTTAATGGTTTTACTTCTCAGTAAATGCTTTTACTGTTTGCTTGAACTTCATAGCATTTGCTAGCTTTTATTCATACAACCCAATATGTCACTAGCATCCTAACTAAAGGCTACATGTGCCAGCGTAATGTGCATCACGTGTGTGGCCTGCGGAACACAAAGCGAATTGCATGTGTGTCGCATTGAGATACTACGAAGCCGAAACCGGCTTCGCTGAGTAGGCCTACAGTTGTTTTCCTGGTTCCGGATTGCGAAAATTATTCCGTCAGACTGCAACTACAAAATTCCTCAAATTCCAGTGAAATGTGGTCAGTAGTGAGCCTTGTGTGTTTGAGATACTGCGTTATTTTCAAAATCTTGGCTTTTAATTTGGACTTACAAAATTGACAAAACTGACGATGACACTTTTCCTAGTTCTGGATTGGTTTAACCAATTCTGGATCTCGACAAAAACTTTTTCACGAATAAAAAGTAACCCCGTGAGAAATCCATTTTGCAGCCAGAACCATTATAACAAACTGATTTTTCTAATGAGAAATTTCCTGATTTAGAGAAATTATTTCAAGAATAAGGATTCCAATGAATTAAAAAAGTAGAACCAGACATTACAAGCAAAGTTTATATGAATATTGAGTATAAAAAATGTATTTGGAATCATACGTAGTGAGTGACCTATCGCCTTTTAAATTTTCATCAATATTTTTGGCCCCCGCAATTTTTGCCAACCGTTTAAGTGCGAAATGGAAATCTGGCCAAAGTTTCTTTCTATAATTTTTTTGCGAACAAATTTTTTAAAAGAAGCCTACATTTCATCTATCAAACAGAACTTGTTTTAGAATGTAGAATGAAAGAACACAAAAAGGTAGGTTTTTTTATTTCAAGCGATCCGGACCTAGGAAAAAAATGGAACTAAGAAAACAACTGTATCTCGATGATGTAAACTATTCCCTTTCTGTCATACAATCTTGCAGTAACACTTGTGCGGTGTATAAGTTAACATAATTTTAGTTCACATGCCCAGTTTACTTTATTCTTTGTTTTTGTCTTTTTTTATGAATACATTGTACATTTTAAATAAGGAAACTCACGTTAATCATGGCGTTTGAAGTAATCCTGAATAGCGTGGCTCTTTCATTGATACTTTTGAGCTTGTTTACTGCCTCCGTTGGATCTTGGATGGCCTCGAGGTCACTCAAACCACGTTGAAGTGTTGTGCTGTGTTTTGAAATGAGGTCATTACAGATACCAAGATTTTCCAGCTTGCTTGTCAAGATATGTAAGGTTGTCTGAAGCTCAGTGCGGTCCACATCTGAGGGCAGCTCTTCTTCATCATCTAAAGCAGATCAACATTACAAACACATTACATGAAATCTGTATACAAGTACCATGCATACGTGTACTTGTACATACATGTACATGTACTCATTTACTTTGAATACCTCGGGAAAGTTTTGAGATTCAATTTTGATAAAATTACCGGTATCATGTTCATTAGGTTCTTTTCTTATCCATTTTCATTCAAAGAACATCAACAAACTTTCTTTCAGGAATCCTTTTTAGCTGACATGTTTTAACTTAGCTACATGTACAGTACACAAAACTGAATAAAAGTATTATTATTTCACAGATGTAAACTGCTGAAAAGGATCTAATGGTTAAGCCTCAATGTAAAGGGAAGTACAGAACATACAGTGTAACCAATCAGCTCCTGATGATACACAGTCAAATGGAAACACCTGACACAAACAAGGTTGCAGACAATAAGCCACTTGCAAGTTACATTAGAATAACATCTGGTACACTGAATTCTTCAAATTCGCGTGAACATAACAATTGAAATTCCCCAGACTAAGACACTTGCTATACCTCGTGATTCGGTGCAAGCTTTTGCATAGCGACCACCATCTCTGGAATGGACTGGTTCATTTGTGCCATTCTTATCCATTGAGAACAGTGTATTGTTGCAAGGCTTCTCTTATGTAACTAAGAGAAAAGCTTGCCCCGAATCACGAGGTATAGCAACAGTGGCTTTAGTATGGAGAATTCCAATTGTTATGTTCACGTGAATTTTATTTTGATTTTATTCAAATTTAACTCGAAAACGAAAAAGGCTTATTGCAAAAGATGGATCATGTGTAATTTGCCAACTGCCCCTATTGGATCTTCAAAGTAGGCCAACACAAACATTGGCAAGATGGACGTAATGTAAAATTGTCCCTCTCGCTTCAGCATCACACATTATGCCCATTTTTTCCTTATGACTATTAAAAGTGACACCCCTCGTCTTTAACATAATACATGCACATCAATTAGAGAACTTTACCAGTTTGGCTTTATGAGACGGTATAAACACCTACCAGCAAAAAAGGAATTTCAGATGAACATTTTCAGAGCTTTGGGTGACATTTTGTTCTATTTCTTGGTTATATCAGGTCATGCACCATGCATGAGTGCATGGAAAGTCTCACTTCAATTTTAACGTGTTCTTCAAAACAGTCAGGTGCATAATACATGTACATATTTTTAACCCTAACCCCCTGGGCTCTTGCACTAGAAAACATACTGAACCTCACAAACTTCAACAGATACATGTACTTGTCTGTGTACTTGTATGTATGTACATGCAGGCCACTGTACCAAACCTGATAAACTCCAACAAAATGACTCTGATGGAGTTTGAGTAATATGGTGTGGATGGGTCTATGAAGAACAGGATGACTTGCACCCTGGACCTTTGGTACCAAGTCCAACAAAATTCAACAAGACATCCATCAGGTAAGGTACCAAACTTGCCAAAACCTGCTGTTGGAGTATGGCAGGTTTGGGGTGGTTAGGGTTAAAAGGTTACACCACTGGTAAAATCACAAAAATGGGACTGTCGAATAATCCTTGAAATCCTGAAACAACAGCCTCAGTCAATCTGTAAATTATTTCCGGGCAAGCCGTAGTTTTCAAGAAAACAGCAATTTTCTTCTCTTTAACCACTTCATGCCGGGGCATTTTTCATTGTTGATGATGCTGGGCCGGCATGACTATCGTTTTTTTCCATTTTCAAAATCCTTCAAAAATTCATCATTTCATTTTACAGTCGTTTATAGCCGCACC